CTGACTGTGACATAGATTCTGAAGGACAGGTCCCTCGGCATGGAAGGTAAGTCATCGCCAGTGATTTCCTCTCGACCAATATGGCCGTGGAGTCGTATTACCCGAAAATCCGACTCGTGATTTAGTGTCACGTTCATGACAGGCGTCGCTCGGAGGTCATTTTTGACTGTCAGGAGTAGCCCCAACTGCCAGTCCTGTTCGTGGTTCGGTTTCACGCCCACGCTGACTGTCCACGAATCTCCGTTCTTCTGCAGAGGTTCTTCGAGAAGAGTTCCAAGCGTCGTCACCTCGCAGCCTTTGCGAAAAGAAGGAAAGTCATAATTCCAACTTCTTTTCATTAATGATTAATTAATTTATTGATTATGAATTATGAGATACGAGATTGAAAAGAAAAAGAAAAAAATCACCTCGGATCACCATCGGCAGCACGAGCGTCATCACCACAGTCGTCCAAGTCATCGTTGCTCCTCGCTTCCCTCTGCACACAAGCGCTTCTCGAGGAGGCAGCAAATGCAAACATGCACTGGCCGTTTGCATTCGATATGTTCTTCCCTTATCTAACTGCTAACGACTTGTATTTGTCTAAGAACACGCGCGACCAGACTCTCCGACGGCGCCTCTCACACTGCTCGTCTGCTGAAGATGCGCCGCTTCCGAGAAACACGAACGTCGACGCAGGAGATACGGAGGGAAGCTGTTGACATAATCTCATACACATACACACATATCCACACTTGCACCCCCACCTGAAAACTGCATTGTGATTTTAATCCGATGGAATTGGATTTTTTATTCCGTTCACTTACACCCGCAGCTGTACCAGATCCCCATCACATGTCCGTGATAGATATGGTTGTACAGACATGTCCACACCTAATATACACATAGATATAAGAGGCCTCCCATCTGCCTGGCCTGCTACATGAACATTAGCTTTTATACAGACTATATTTTTACATAGATGTAGATGTGTTGGTAGCATCACATTAAGGTCAACCTGCCATAATTTTATCAATTACAACTCAATATTGGCTAGTGTTGAAAGCGACTAGTAAGTGGTGTGCTATAATGTAACAACATAAACGGGCTGCAAATAAACACTTTTGGTGTCAGGAAAAACGAAATGTGCAAAAGAACAATTCGCTAAAAGGGTGACCTGATCAAACTAGTAGCATATTACGTTTTTTAGAAGCGCCTTTGTTAAGAAAGCGAGAAAAAGATCAATCACTCTTCAGGGTTTCATTGAGTGGAGACGCGGACACTAAAGAAGAGGTTATTTTGCCACTTGAAATTTGCACTTGTTACCAGGACCTAGGACTGGAAGTGGCTGCAAAATCCTGGGATTTGTGCTCCCGATGCTTGCGCCTCAGGGCATCCAAGTGCAGAAGCCGAGAGTTGCCACGACTGCATTTCTGCAAGCGACGGGAGGCATAAAGAATTTCCTTGACCTAAGGTTGTTGCGAGTATAATAAGCTTTAAATAAGTTTTATCGGTAAGAAAATATAGAGTGTAGTTTGTTTTTACCATTTAAGATATGGTTTGTTACTTCATGAACTGTATCTCCTTGTGATATAATTGGCATACTATTGTTCCTCGTAACTCATAATGTCATGATATTGATTTTCATGACTTCATTTGGCTTTGAATGCATTGTTCGGGGCCATATGACAAGGAAGGAAAGTATAAGGGGACTGAAGTGAAAAAATAAATGCTTCTTATTTATTTATTCACACATGTGGGTATACAAAGTCATAGCAAGCAAGTCAATACATAATCACAAATTGCCAAATCATAATACAGGCTGAATAAAAAACATCAATAATCAACGCTTACACAATACATAATGAATTAGTTTGAAGAATGTTACACTAAACCATTAACATTCCTCTATCGCAGCGATATAGACATACATTGCAACAAATTTCATTTCTGTATACTTCTCATGACCTCACAAAAAACTTCATAACAGAAAATGCAATTGACGCCGCGAGAACAGCTGTCAAAGATCTCATGTGCAGTGATCATCATAAATGCTGTTGCGGAATGACTGCTGTGCCTCCGAGTCCCTTTCGCTCCCGTAAATGCTGTTTCTCTCTGACCGGCTGCCGGACGATTCTTCAGCGTCAGTTGCACTCTCGTAGATGTGTTCATCGGGAGAACATCTTTGCTGGTTGTCTGCGCAGTCCGTGTACATCGGTTCTTCCATTTCACTTAGACTGTCGTAGATGTGTTCTTCGGGAGAACTCTTTTGCTGGCAGTTTGCACAGTCCGTGTTCATCTGTTCCTCTGCATCACTTGCACTCTCGTAGATGTGTTCCTCGAGAGAACTGCGGTGTTCGTCCACGCACAGTGCGCTGCCCACACCCGTCTGACCTGAAGCAGCCCAAGTGGCGTGCGCAGTGCCCTGGGCAGGCGTGGCAACGTTTGCGCAAGTGTTTTGGGGTGAAGCGTGGAGGCTGACGTCCCCCTGGGCGTGGACGGGGCGTGGTCCCTCGTGCTGGTCAGAGCGAGAGGCCGCGTTGACAGGAGGGCGTCCGCGCAGTCGCCTCGAAGCGCAGTAGATCAGCCAGGTCGCTGCCATCACGAGGGCCGCAGCGCCGCACGAAGCCGCTGCTATGACTGGAGTCCTGTTTTCTGTGTTGCAAGAAATGTATTGAATGAAAATAGGCGCTATTCACGAGATCGATCAGTCACGTGAGTTATTGTCGAATTAGTAGATTTCAGTGTAGTTGCTGTGCCTGAAATGATCACACATGGAACGTAAGATATCTATATTGAGTACAGCACAATATACACACACATATATGTAGATATATGTGTGTGTATATACATATGTATATACACACACATATATAAACGTAGCTAGAAAATTATATTTTCATATATTACCTTGCGTACTTGTTATTTTCTTATACACTGTACATATATGCATCTATAGTCGTTCGCATTTTTCTCAGATATCATCAAATAAAAGAGAGAAAGAGGGGAGTGAGAGAGAGCAGAGAGGGAGAGAGAAAAGAGAGAGAGGGGGGGGGGGGTGAGAGAACAGAGGAGAGAGATAGGGAGAGAAACTAATGTATGAAGATATACCTGTAAATCTTGACTGAACCGGATACTCCAATACCTTGTCTGTTTTGCCTGAAATGATCGCATAATTATTATTCTTTAATTCAAATATCAATACATAGAACAGCATAAAACATGATATATGTTACAATGTAGCTCAATAAGAAACCACACACACAGATATATATATATATATATATATATATATATATATATATATATATATATATATATATATATATACAATGTCTCCTTATATGTATACACGCAAACACAGATGCAACACACACACACGTGTGTGTATATATAAACAATTGTATGTATATATGTATGCATATATGTATATCATATACATTGCACATAAACACACGAACGCGCAGTCATATATAAATATATGTATATATATACATATATATATATATATATATGCATATACATATATGTATATATATATATATATATATATATATATATATATATATATATATATATATATATATATATATATATATACATGTATATGCATGTGTTTTCACCGTCAAAATATCATGAAACTACTTACGGGTATTGACCTCGACGCAGCCGTGTGACACACTGAAACCTTCAGCAGCATCAGTGTTCCGTAATGCAAGAGTCGAAGTTCTCATTTCATGGAGATTCTTCAGTCCATGTGGTGCGATTTTCTTCACATTATCTAATTCAAGTTCTAACTCGTATCGACTGACTGTGACATGGATTCTGAAGGACAGGTCCCTCGGCATGGAAGGTAAGTCATCGCCAGTGATTTCCTCTCGACCAATATGGCCGTGGAGTCGTATTACCCGAAAATCCGACTCGTGATTTAGTATCACGTTCATGACAAACGTCGTTCGGGCTTCTTCCTTGACTGTCAGGAGTAGCCCCAACTGCCAGTCATGTTCGTGGTTCGGTTTCACGCCCACGCTGACTGTCCACGAATCTCCGTTCTTCTGCAGAGGTTCTTCGAGAAGAGTTCCAAGCGTCGTCACCTCGCAGCCTTTGCGAAAAGAAGGAAAGTCATAATTCCAACTTCTTTTCATTAATGATTAATTAATTTATTGATTATGAATTATGAGATACGAGATTGAAAAGAAAAAAAAAAAATCACCTCGGATCACCATCGGCAGCACGAGCGTCATCACCACAGTCGTCCAAGTCATCGTTGCTCCTCGCTTCCCTCTGCACACAAGCGCTTCTCGAGGAGGCAGCAAATGCAAACATGCACTGGCCGTTTGCATTCGATATGTTCTTCCCTTATCTAACTGCTAACGACTTGTATTTGTCTAAGAACACGCGCGACCAGACTCTCCGACGGCGCCTCTCACACTGCTCGTCTGCTGAAGATGCGCCGCTTCCGAGAAACACAAACGTCGACGCAGGAGATACGGAGGGAAGCTGTTGACATAATCTCATACACACACACACATATCCACACTTGCACCCCCACCTGAAAACTGCATTGTGATTTTAATCCGATGGAATTGGATTTTTTATTCCGTTCACCTACACCGCAACTGTACCAGATCCCCATCACATGTCCGTGATAGATATGGTTATACAGACATGTCCACACCTAATATACACAGAGATATAAGAGGCCTCCCATCTGCCTGGCCTGCTACATGAACATTAGCTTTTATACAGACTATATTTTTACATAGATGTAGATGTTTTGGTAGCATCACAAAGCGACTAGTTAGTGGTGTGCTGAAATGTAACAACATAAATTGGCTGCAAATAAACATTTTAAACACTTTTGGTTTCAGGAAAAACGAAATGTGCAAAAGAACAATTCGCTAAAAGGGCGACCTGATCAAACTAGTAGCATATTACGTTTTTTAGAAGCGCCTTTGTCAAGAAAGCGAGAAAAAGATCAAGCACTCTTCAGGGTTTCATTGAGTGGAGACTAAAGAAGA